ATTTTCATCAGAGAATTTGTCTGTACTACTAGTTGTGATTCTTGCTTTCAAGGATATCAGTGGTACTTGTGAACAAATGCTTGATTTTTGAACTCCCTGCATAGACTTTAAAACCATTAACAATCAAAACTTCAAAAGAAGTTAGTCTCTGTTATTTAGAGAAATGGCCCATGTTTCCTGTGGTCCTTGGGTTCATTTGCTGACCTCTCCCAAACCAGCCAAACAAAATTGCAACTTAAAGCGACGCCTAGAATGCTTCATTAATGTCAAAGTACTTCCATATACTTGCTGTTGCTGTAAGCGTTACACCTAAACTCCATACATTACCTTTTCTTCTCCCAGTCATTCTCCTGAGGTGTGCCTGATTTAGGCCAGCAATTAAGTGCTGTCCAAGCGGAGCAGTTGGGTTAGGTGGTTCTGATGTGGTCGTGCTGCTTCTTGACTTGAGTAAGTCTGTCTGCAAGGTGTGCTGTGTGTGCACAAGCGTACTTCAGCACTGGCACAAATAATACGGTTTGTTACTGTTTGCATCGACAGAGAGCATTGGCAGTATTTCATTTCTCTAGTATTGCTGTATACTTTTTAACTGTTCTCTCTTTTATCCACAGGCTCTTTTCTCCATAAGTAATCCTCATTCTGAGATTGTATTAGTGGCAAAAATAGAAAAGGTGCTTACGGGAAACATTGCCAGCAGCGCTGAACCTTACATTAAGAATCCTGACTCTTTTAAGGTAATGCAACTGCAACATCAGTTCCTTCTTTGTCAGCTTCAGCCTATTGGGAGCTGCAGACATTGCAGGTTGTGCTCACAAATCTCACTAGTGTGTGGTTGCTGAACAGGACAAGCTCACAGGAGGCCTGTGCCTAAGAAGGCAAATGTCCGTGCTCCGTTGACTCAATGGACAAAGTACCTTTTGTCTGCAGCATGCAAATTCATTCACAGTGCATTCCTATGCTAGTTATGGCTTAGAGTGAAGTTATCTTTCAGAAATCTTTTAGCGATTGAGTTAGTGCACTTCATATACAAACAAATTCGGGGTAAGCAGCTGTTTCTGAGAGCAGGCAGTGCATCTGCATTGGGTATATTACATAAAACTGGAATAATAATTGTATCTAATACAGTTCTGACTGAAGGGATAGTGACAGAGTTTAATTCATCAGCAGCATCATATTCATCTTTGATGTCCTTGCTGTTCACCCAGAACCTTCTGTTATGGACAGCATCAGGCTAAAGTGTTTTGGAGACACTATAGCCTCTTCAGCAGAGGAGTGCTTGGGTGTATTCTGTGCTACATTTCTGATATTATACTGATACTGATGAAACAGTTCATATTTTCTTTTCTGTAGTGTGCGCAGAAAGTGTTAAAATCCAATAAACAGTTCTGCAGCAAGCTGGGGAAATACCGTATGCCATTTGCTTGGTCAGTAAGGTATGTATTAATTCTTTTTATAATTCCATAAGCATCTCATAGCTTATTCTGCACTTGGTCTTGTATCCTTTTATTCTTTTCCACTTTTTCTGCCTGAAGCTAAGCATAGCTTTCTGCGTGGTCCAGGAACCCAGAAGCTCCTGCAGCTTCCTTATTTCGTTGCCCTGTTTTTCACCCAGCTGGACGTTGGTTACTTTGTCATTAAATGGGACTGTGGTGGAATCTTTTCTTCAGTTATGTAGTGAGGTTGCCAGGGAGTAGCAGAGGTGGGTGACAGAATATCAGTTTATCATGAGCTCCACCAGTGATTTGTGGTTAAATATTACCAAAGAGATTTTGAAGTCACAGTTCTGGCAAGAATTTCCTACAAAGAATTACGGCCTGAAACAGAGTTGCAATGGCACCTAAAATAGAGGTGCACAAGTCTGAAGCTTTGTTCTTGTTATGATGCCTGTCAGGGTTTAGGAAAGCTCTAACCAAGGATTTGGAGGTTATGATGCTACTAAAGCAGTGCCTTGAAGGTGATATTGAGGCATTGTGTTTCAAGTACTCTTACATTTTACTCTTGCATGGGTGACCTGCATAGTTAGTAGGTTATTTTCTTGTTTGGCAGGTGGGTTGCGTTTTAGTGCAGTAGTAGTAACGATTTTTATTCTTCCTCTCTCTCTTCCTGGATAATTTATTGCTGGTCTTACCTTCAAGACTGAGGCTCCTCTGTGCCTCCTCTGTGCCTTCTACCAGATTAACTCACAAAACCAGATATGGCTTTCTTCTTTCTGTTCTCCCTTGAAGTTTCCATGTAATTCCTCTGTTCTCTCCAGTTTTTCCTTCTCACTCTCACATCATTTCCTCAGTTTACCGCTGCCCTGGGATGAGAGAGTTACCTGACTGAGACACTCCTGTGTGTCCCTATGACAACTCTCCCTTCTTTCTGCCATGCATAGAGCAGGGAATATATAATTTTCTATTCTGTATCAAAAGGAAAGCTATTGATTACCGACTGAAAGCGTTCCTTCTGCTCTGTGGCTTCTGTTGTGACCATGGCAGGCCAGGTGGAGTGCTAGGTGAAAAAGTCACGTTGGGGCATTGCCCATGACCGTGAGGGATAGCTGTGTGCTTCTGGTGGGGAGCTACGGAGCACCACAAGTCCACGGTTTCCCCTGCCATGTGTAGGGGAATGCTTATGATTTTAGAATATGTTGCTTAAATGGCAAAGAAGAAAACACACAGTAAAATACAGCCACTTGACGGGTTCATTTATTTTTATTGACAGACATTTTTGTCAATATCCAGTAGGAGCAGAAGTACGTGCATGCTCAAGAGAAAGGCAGATAATGTGTTTTGATCTGTCACCGCAAGCTGAAGAATACTCAGTAATATTTACTACTTCTGTGTAGCCAAAGGACCATTCATCAAAATTGTATTGATGGGTGTCTCTGGGGTGGACAGAGCTACTTTTATTGGGTAATGGACCGTACAATGTCAAGAGGTGCAGGCTTGGCATCAGACTGACTTGAGGCTTTTTATTAACTCTCTCCTGCCTGCCTGTAGTGGTGCAACTCAGTTATTGTTGTAGCTGTCTTGAGGTGGTATGATGACTTTAACTAGTTCTGAGTCTAGCTCGTCACTCATGCATGTGGAGAAGGCTAAAACATTCTTCAGCATCTTCAGCAAGCCTTATTTCAGAGTGTTTCTGGCAAAAAAAAAAAAAAAGAAAAATCAGGAAGGTTTTCTTCTTCAGTTTGAAGGAAGTGCATTTCACTTTCATAGGATTCTGCAAGTGGCATCCCCCAGTTGTCTCTTGATGAGAGGGCATAGGCAGAAGCAGGATGCAGGCTGTGCCATACGTCACTGGTCCGCAGATGCTGGGCTGTGTGTGTGCCACGGCTCTACTGCTCAAGCACATTAAGTTGTACTGTGCCTCAGTCCAGAGTCGTAGCTGCAGGTCTGGGTGTGTTTATCAGCTCTTGAACTTTATCATGATAAATCACATTAGGAGGTACCATAGTTTAAAAGTCATTGACCAAATATACCACGTGTATGAACTTGTTGGTATCAGTGATGTTGCACAAGGAGTTCGTTTACTTCATTGGGTCAAATTCTGCACTCGTTTACATGTTAATACATAAACATTATTCAGGACTCTCTTTAGTAAAAGCAAAGTGTAATTTGGCCCTATAAAATCTATTTCTGTTTTCACAGCTTGAAAAGAGAAGTTTCCACAGGAGGCTATCGCGCTACAGGGGAAAAAAATGGTTTGGCTATGATCAGTAGCAAAACCCTGGGTTTGGAAATGTGTTTTCCAGTTATTTCATTCTGGCATTAACCACACTCCTGGTTTTGTGTGGAAACTTCCCCCCTTAAAACAGTTACAGATGGCCACAGTGTGATCTTTACGTACACATTCAGCAAGCCAAAATCTTGACAGTTGAGTATTGTGCGTTTGACTAAAACTCTTAATTAGCTTATGTGGCATCCGGTTTGGTAGCATCGTTCAAAAGCATGACTCAGGGTTCCTCCCTGATTTCTTGCTGGCCTCTGTGGGATCTGGTGTCTGTATGCTCTCACAGGTATAATTACAGCATGTGTTAGAATTACGACGTGTCACATCCATCTTCCACTCTCATACTCATGCCAAAACTGCCAGTTTGCAAATACGTGCCTCAGCTACGTGTTGTGGATGTGGGGGAACTGCACTCACAGAGATCAGGTTTTGTACTGTGCCATTCCTTCAGACCTTCTCCACTCTCGTAAACTTTACATGTTAGAGCCTAATAATTGAATCCTTCAACAGCTTGTGCAGCTCAGCTGGTATAGGTTGATGTAGCTGAAGATGGTGAGGCTGCACTGATTTATAGTGGCTGCAGATCTTCACACTAGATTTCTAAACCTGGAGGGGAGCACTTTTTCCACAAATCGTAAGCCACTACTTTAAAAGTAGCTTTCTTGATGTTAAATTATGAACATTGTATTACGTTTTCTGTTTATTATTTCTGATAATAATGAAAGAACAGTAGAATCACAGAAATACTTTAACTACTCAGATGATGATTCAATTTCTGTAGTGAAATATGTTAATTTGTTTGCCCCTAGATTAACTCCTTGAGGATCTCGTCAGGATTTTAGTTCTGTGAAATTTTTCTGTTTAAAATCTCTCTGATAAATAAGTAACCAGCAGTAAGGAATTGTTAATATGCTAGACAAATATTGGACTTGTAGGTTGTAAAAGTCTTTTATTACATCTCCTTTTCTTTGGTATGACAGTTATAACTCTCAAATGCCTTCAGTATGTTCACTGTGACTGTGACAAGGAGCACTTTTGCTCCACCTGTGCCCAGCACCCTGAAAGGCTCTAGCGAAATACAGGGTTGTGGTTACTTAACTGCAGACGTAATACACATAATACTTGCTGCTCTGGCAATTCTGCAGCTTTATTGAGCCTGGGGAATGAAGAAATCGGTACAGTCTGACCAGCAGAAAGCCTTTTAACTCTTCCCTGAGTGCATAAAACATACCTGTTTTTAAGGAGGGTGATCTTATTTTCAATGGACAGCTAAATTGTTGTTGTAGTGGCAAGAGATTTACATAAACATAGTACTGTATGTAAGATGAAGGGATAAAAATACTTATCTGTTTTGCACCATGAATACTTGGTTTCATGCCTTTAATTTTGTCCTGAGTGTATTATTTAGGCTGGGATGTGCTGCTGAACTGACGAGGAGCAGTTCTAGAGGAAGGGCATGTGATTCCCGGCGAGCAGCGATGCTGGGGAGTGGCTGTAGGCAGGAGGACTCCCTAAAGCCCTTCTGACTCCACACCAGAGTGGCTGGAGGGAAGGAGGTGATGATGCCATGTCCCTTGAGCCTCCTGGGAGGCAGTGTTCAGTGCTCAGCACCACTGACCTGGAGCGAGCTACTCCCTGCACAGACCTGGTTCTTTTTCCTTTTATGCTATGAACATCCCCAAACCTGCCTTGATAAAGTGCCCCTACACCCCGCTGTGCTGAGCAGTGGTTTGCTCAGTGCCAGAGCCTGTATTGGAATTAGTTTAAAAGCTCCAGTAGAGCCTGGGTTTGCTCAGCATCACACTGCAGAGCCCCATGGCACAGCGGAAATCATTCCCTGAATGTTTTAGACCTCTCCGTTAGTCTGGAGAAGGAAGCAGTGCTGAGTCCAAGAAATATCACAGTGTCACCAATACTGTAACTGTTATTAAATCTTACCTTGTTTTCTTTCTCTTTTTTTTTTCTTTTTTTTTCTGACAGCAGTTTAATAGGATTTATAAACTAAGGGGTGGCTGCCAGAAATTAAGTCTAGTCTCTTTCTAATGACTTAAGATATTTAACATGTCATGTTGGTGTGGACTTTATTCCCTCTAACTGCTGGAGGCAAAAAGTCTGATAGAATCTGCAGTTACAAAGAAATGAAATAGTGTCAGTTCATTAAGTTAAGACACGGTGGATTTATATTTATCCTTGGGATCCTCTTCCAAAGGTTTACTCCATTATTTTGTATCTGGCAATAATTTGTGCTGGCATCAATTTTTCTTCTGACTGGCAGTGGAACAGAGAAGTAAATTAAGGAAGCAAGATTGTCCAAATGATTCACAGAACAGCACTTAGTGTCAAGAACATTTTACTTTTGTTAAGCAATGTTTTTGCATGCTAGAGTTGAATCCAAGGTTCATTACTTTGGATAGCTGTTACACTATCCAGTCCAGCCAGTGTGTGGGGATATACAAAGAGCAATGAAATGTCTTAATTAAATCCTGCAAGTGTCAATATGGGAATTTTTTCCTGTGCACACAACAGCTGATACTTACGTTCCCAGTTACAGACACATATCCTTTCTTTCACTTTCATTTGGCACTCTGTAGCTGGTTCACCAATAATTTAGTTGATGCTCCACTAACTACTTTTGTGAAGGAACACTAAGCGCCAATGAGTTGGCTTCATGTTCCTGGAGGACACAGGACAGATTTAATGCATAGGAAGATTCAGCAGAGGTCTCTGACCTGGTTCTGCAAAAGCATATGTTTCTTTACATAGTGAGATGTAGCGGTCAGTATTCGACATCTTGCTATGATTGCTGTTGTTGAAAATTATCATTATTTTTATTGGATACTAACTTGGATGAAACTACCTAATGATGTAGTGAATTCTTCAAAATGCTTCCTTGAAATAAGGAGCCGGGCTCTTTGTTGAAGAGAGGAGTCGTGTCCTTGATGTGTGAGCAAAATTATGAAGTCCCATCAGACTTGGGGGCAGTGGCTCTTAGCCAGGGATGGCTTCTCTGGGGCTGCCCCAGGAGCTTGCTGAGAGCCTGGAGGAGGCTCCGTTGCAGGCAGGGTGATGGAGGGGCAGGGAGGAGCAGAGAGCTGGCTCCAGTGTGGTGCTGTACACTTCCAGCTTTCTCAGCTGAGGCTTAGCTACAGAAGAGGGGGGGAAAGTGGTGGATGCTGAACTAGATGGTGATTTGGTCTAGCATGAAACTCCAGCAACTCTGAGCTGTGAGCAGGCATGCTGCACCTGAGGTCAGTGGGCACAGTCTGCATCGTGGAAGATTAAACAAAGTCTTAAGTCTTTGTAGGACTGGGACTGCACATGCCAGTGAACTGAAATTGCCTATGCTCCTGCAAATGTACAGCTCAGAAGAGCTGCCTTGTGTGGAGCTCTGCAGGGAGCCCTTAAATTTGTGTCAGAATTCATATCATAACCTTGTTAAATAATAATGTGCCAATTTCAAATGTGAAATATATATCTGGGTGAGTTTTTATTAACACGTCTTTTTTCTTTTCTTGTAGACCGGTTTTTAAAGATAATCAGGGAAATGTTGACAGAGACTCCCGATTCTCACCTTTATTCAGGCAAGAAAGTAATAAGATTTCCATGGAAGATTTTATTAAACTAATAGCAGAATATAGAAGGTAAGGAACAATTTTTAATCTGTTTTGAGAAAGGGTAAAAGCTTTATAAAGCTGTACAGAATAATTTTTATAGCTTTTTTTCTTCATTTAACACAGTGTATTAAATTAGTGGTTTTCACATTACCCTATGACCTGCCAAAGAGTGCTTTAGGTTGGACTTTCCAGGAAAACTGAAAAGTCATTTGGCACGTTAATCAGCGTTGTTATAACCTAAAGAAAAAAGAGAGACAAAACAATGAGAAAGCATTCCTTAATGGTATCCTCACCCCTTGCTTTTGTTTGCTGGAGTCTCCACAACAAACTGCAGAGCGGACATTGGAAGGAAGATACTTCTCCAAATGTTTGACAGTGTGTAAATTAATGAATGGCAGTTTGGCTGGATAGTCTTCCACCCAGGTGTAAATCAGGTTAATTCCAGAGCAGAATCTTTGTTTATACTGGATAAGTGACGTGAGAATTGAACCGTGAATTTCTTCCTGTCCCTTCTGCTCTAAATGTGCCTAGAAATGAATTAATCTAATTAACTTCTCCTGTTCCATACAGGAATTGGATTGAGTCCTTAACCTCTTGTGTCATCTTACTGTTACTGGTCAGAAAACTTAGCTGAAATTCTCAGAGTCACCACTGCTGCACTTGTCTGTCTAAAGCATCTCCTAGATAAAAGGAATTTAGTATCTGAGTTTTGGCACTTCTCAGATTGCTTGGGCACAAGGAATACGTCTTGGTCCCTTTGCAGCAGGACAGCTATAGAAGCTATGATGCTATGAAGTCACCTCAGTGGTCATTGAATTCCTTCTAGAGAATATTTCATTTAGATTTTAGAAAGAAAAAGTGGGTAAGTTAATTCTCATGAGATTTGGTTCATCAGTTTCTTCCTCATCTGCCAAGTATGGTGTAATATTGTTTGCGAAGAGAAGGCAGGAATGAGGCCAAGGAAGAAAAACAAACAAACAACAAAACCAAAACAACAAAGCAAAACCCCCTCATTTCTTTCCTGCTGTTGCATTTGATTTGAGTTTAATAGCTGATAGGTGTATGTTAAATGTGTTCAATATATATTTATACTTTAAATCAGGTTCTGTTATTAATTTTAGATTAACTCCTGTGATGGGTCTCATCTCACCTGTTCTAGTTTTCTAAAAACTTTTAATTTCTCTCATTGCAGAGCAGAGAAGATTAGCAAAATACAGACTATACCTGGCTGTTTGGAGATTGCAGTTGATTGTGTTCCTTTGGAACATCCAAGTATGATTCCACTTTATAATTAATTACTATAATTAAATAGGACATTGTCAGAAGCTTTGCAGCTGCCTTTGAGACAGTTCTGGTAAAAGTATCTGTTGTTGTATAGAAAAATGTTTGCAGGGAAGTGTTCTTGATTTGTTTTCATTTAGTTACACCATCTGTTGTTTCATCCTCTGCCTGGCCAGATACACCCCAGCACATGATGAAAATCCAAGGACCACTTTTTGGTCTCTAAGGGATTAGGCCAAAGAGCTGAGTGGACTTCTGTAGCTTGAGGTTAATAGCCTTGCCCTGGTGATGGGCTGTGATGCTCTTACCCTCTATGAATTAGCAAGTGTGGGACATGCAGCAGGTTTCAAGAATGCAGACTGGATGGAGGACTTCGTTCAGATGCCACTCTGGCATCAGTGCAGGAACTGCTTAAGAAAGATGCTTCTAGCTGGATCCTTTATCTCTTTTAAAATTTTGTTTCAAGGACCACATTTTTGTGACCCACTGTTGCAAAAAGTTCAGGACCACTGAATTCCTCTGAAGTCTATAATCAGTGAAGTGCCCAGTTCCTGTGGAAAGTCAATGAAAATACCCTCACACTAAAGAATAACAGCTTAAACATTTCTTTGGTATGGGTAAAATTTGTCTTACTCTGAATGAGGCTGTAAAATGATTTAAAAACTGCACCAGAAAACTTCCATGCTGTAGAATTCATTAAAACCTTCATGAAAACTCTTCTTGACTTCATCCAGCTCTGAAGGAAGACTTGTAATAGCAGTAACCAGTTCTGTTATAACACCTCCATCCCACCCAAAATAGGTTGTGCTAGGCTGGTGCTAAAATTCTTTATTGCCAAGAAAAGCCACTGGAAGGAAGTTGGCCAAAGATCTTGTCACAAATTTGCCAGTCTGATTATGTCTTCAGGAACTGGCACGACCCTGGTTCACATCAGCATCAATTTTCATTAGCCAACAGAAGTAGATCTTTGTTTTTATAAGATTTTGTTTACTACAACTACAAGAGCTGGAGCCAGTGGTGTATCAGAGAATATTGTCTGACAGTGTTTAACCTGAAACAAAACTTTTGCCTTTTCTACTGCATGGGGGTGTGGAGGGGGAAGTCAAACTCGCATAGCTCTAGCAAAGGGGACGAAAGGAAAAGCTTCCTGAAGCTCCCACCAGCCCTGTGTGGTCCCTGCCTGTTGTCTCTTGTGCTGGAAGGTCGGGGCCTCAAAGCTGACAGTAGGGCAGCAGGTACTGTCACTGCTACATCCTCTGCATTCCCCCCTAAAATATCCATTAAACCCCTGAACTGTGAGGCTCTGTTCTCGTGGAGGGCAGTCACGGAGGTTTGCTTGTAGCTGAGAGCCACATGGCTGGCAGCAATTGGGCTGTTGCCTCCATGTGCATTCCTGTGCATCCTTGGGCTGGTCCCTGGACTTCTCTAAGGAAAAATAAAGTTTATGATGATAAAAATTGGATACAATCAGAATGCTTATAAATCATGTTTGAGGGGCAGCTGGATGAGTTACAAGACCTAATGCATCCTCATGTTTTTAAGATGGGTTCCCTGAGCTTTGCCCAAACAGAAAGCTGCCCATCTTAGCAGAATTGTAAACCTTTAGAAGTTTGTATCTTCACTGACCAACAGAGGGATTTGCATGATCATCCACAGGGAGCTATTGCTGGTGCTGGAGAGAATAAGCCATCTCCAGGCTTCTCTGCAGCAGGCGGTGATCGCTTCTGGCTGACAACTGCAAGTGATTTAATTTAGCTGTTCCCTTTTAATGCTTCTAATTCTGATTGGGAAAGACAAAAGTTTTCATGTATGTATCTTTCCAGCTTAATTCAGGAGCTACATCTGTCTACTTCTGTTGACTGAGTGTAGAAGTCAATCGGACACATTCATATTTTGGTGGGCAGCAAGCTGGGAAGAAAGTTTTCAGTGTACCCTGCTGTAGCTGGCACAGAGCTGCTTCTCCCCCATCAACTTGGGCTGCAGAGGACCTGCACTATCTTGAAATGGGCAATTTCCACTTGTGGTAGTTTAGAAGGAGGTAAAAATGGGCAAAATGTTTTTGAGGGATCACCAGCTTCTTTTGGCTTCCTCACCACAAATTGGTAGGCTTTCCCTGTGAGTTATTCTAGGGTTTGAGGAACAAATTTGTAGGAAGAACCCTCAAATTGCTTTTCCCAGCAATAGTTTGGGACGTCCCTAAGTTGGTGACCCTTCTCAGCTGCTTTCGTGCCAACAGCCCTGGAGTTTTTTATGCTGAAGTTAAATGTCTCACTAAATTAACGGCAGGCAGACAGAGTGTGCTCTGTCTGTTTTAATCTCTCCCCTTCTGGGTGACAGAGTGCTTATTTTCATCTTCTGTTTCTTGAGCCCATTATCCCAGTTGCATCATATATTTAATCTAGTTCTGCACTACTTGTTTCTTCATTTCATTTGCTATGTTATTAGATAATAGAAAAACTTAAATGAGATATTGAACTGTAAAATTAATTAGAAATAGCATCACTTCAGTGTATTCTGTTGACGCTGTCTGTATACCGATAGTGCTGTTATGCCATCAAATGCCAGCAAATACCATGTGTCAATAGAGGTTTCCAGTGCTGTACTGTTTAGCTCAAGTGAAATAAACCACCTAAGGATGATATATTGTAATTGTTCTGAGGTAACTTGGATGCATTTTAAGGCAGGATTTGACATGTTTCATCTCAATATTATTTATTCTTAGTCGTAAGACTGTAAAACCAAATGTAGTGTGTGATGGTTTTCTTTTCTATTCTTTTGAAGACTGTGTAACTTCGTCTTTTATTCCAATCAAGCCGTTTAATGACATAAAGGAACATCAACCTACAGTGGAAGTTGAGGAGTTTGTACAGGAATCAACAAAATATTCTCGACCTTACAGAGTATACAAGAACCAAATATACATATATCCCAAACACCTCAAATATGATAGCCAAAAATACTTCAACAAGGTACAGTATGTGACCAATTCAGGCCAGCATTGGATAGTAGTGTACTGCATGAGCTCTCATAGAAATGAAGGGATACTCATCATAAAGGAGGGGAAAATGGTGATGCAAGTCACTGACTTGGCTTTTGATCTTTTTCAGTTTGTCCAAGCATAAGACATTGGTACAGTTTTAATGAAATGAATCTATGGATTAATTTTCAGTTGTGACAGTGATTCAAAGAGAGATAATGTGGTAATAGGTTTTTCACAGTTTTCAGAAGGGCTGTATTTTAATAAAATATTGCGTGCAGATAAAATTAATCTGAATAATACTTATAGTTCTTAAGTGAAACTTGAGTACCACTTGCGTTTTCATAGTGATTGAGAGATAATTAAGGACAGGACATAGGTAAGTGCTGGTCACTTTATAATCTGCGTCTACACAGTCTGTCTTGAGGCCTGGCTTGCATTTGCCAGTTCTTCTTGGAAATATTATTTCTGGTGATATCACTGTGACTTAATGGCATTTTAAATGTTGATACACCATCTGCATGTTTCTCCTAGATTTTGAGAAGAGCTTATTTCAACCCTTATAATTTGCCTGTGTTTTTATTGCTACCCCATTTCTGATCTGTCTTTCCAGGCACGGAACATAACAGTGTGCATTGAATTTAGAAGCTCTGATGAAGAAGGAGCGAAGCCACTGAAGGTGAGGCACAGGGCCATATTCAGAGGATGATGTTTCTGAGGACATTACTTATAAAACGCTGGAATCAAAGCTGTGCTAACCCATAACAATTAAAGAGTGAAAGTTGTCATGCATCCTTCTACATTTGCACTATGTTCTGATTCATCCCAGCTCATCGTAATGATTCCAGCTCACACTGCCATTTTCCAATGCCAGCTTTCTGACTGAGGAGGGGAAAGAAGGCAATACTAGAAAACTTGAGCGTTGTCTTTACAGTGCAACTTGGTTATTCTAAAATTTATGGCTTACTTTACATTTCTCACTCAGGACGCTTGATTGAAAAGAGTACGAAATTAGAAGAACCGCAGACTTAATTCTTAACTTTGCTACTGACCAAGGGCTAAAGTATTGCATTGTGTATTAAACTGCATAAAAGTGAAAGAGCTTTTGTAAAGCTTTCTGCAGAAAACTCTGAAATTTATAATAGCAAGGAAGAAGTCTGAGGAGTCCGCATTGCTTAGTAGAGTGTAATATTCACAGAATCAATGGAATTTTACTGGAAGTGTGTATAAAAAAATTACAGGTTTGAGCACTTAATATTCTTTTAATATTTGATCAAAGTAGTTATCAATCTTACATGATAGTGTTTTCAGTGTACTTGCATATTAAATATGCCAAGACTAGTATCATCAGCAGAATTTCACAATGTAATTAAAGCATATTACTTTTATCAGTGTATTTATGGGAAGCCGGGTGGACCATTATTTACAACATCAGCCTACACTGCTGTGCTACATCATTCCCAGAATCCTGATTTCTATGATGAGGTCAGTCTGCTTTTTCTTTCATTAGCTGTTTGCCAATAAGACAGAAAAAATATATATAAAGAATACTTCTGTTGCAATTGCTTGTGTATCTGGATGGGCCTGTGTTATGTAGATTTATATACAGTCTCACAATTTGGTTTGGTTTTTTTTTTTTTCTTAAATCAACTCAGTGAATTCTTCCTCTTGTGAGATGTTCTGAGTACAGTTAAGATGCTGTAGACTTAATTAGGAACAGTCTAGCTCTCTAAAATGCATGTCTGGATTATATTAAGGGTCCAGCTGCATTTCTAAATTTAATGGAAACAGTAAGCATTATGTTGAAGGGTGGAGCCAAATGTCAGAACAAATCTCTCTCTCTGAGAGGTAAAATCTGCATTGGGGCATTCTTGTTGATCCAGTGATCTACAGAGAATGTACAGTGACGTGTAGTGGCTGCAGCAAGTCATTTAGCTGGTGCTTTTGAGGATGCAGCTATAGAATAGAGGTCATTTGGCCTTTGCCAAATGTTAGTTGGACAGGCATCTTTGTGTTTCACCATCTCCAGATATTGATTCCTCAGGCTCTCCGCAGGTGAGCTTTGTGTTTGATGGCCTGTGAATGTCACGTGTCTATTCTGGATTTTCCACTACTGCTCTGTGTGTAGTGATACGGCTGGCAAACAGCAGTAGTGTATAGCCGTTGTTTCCAAACTGTTGGCTTGATATTGGAACAACTTCCTTTTTCAGTTAAAACTTACTTTGATAAAGTAGCAGAGGCAAGACCAGCCGATAATGTACAACGACATGTGAAGTATCAGTTTTAAGATTCGTGTTTAGAAACTGAGGTGAAACTTAAAGCCTTACCATCTTCAGAGGTCTTGAACTCCCGCTACTCCTTTGTGAGCAGTGTTTTGAGTTTTAACACGTCTGAAAATGTCCTTCACGTGATGATGGTGAGACATCTGGTTTGAGCAGATTACTTTCAGCTTGACCAAAGAGCTGAATTCAGATCCTAATAGCTGATTTGTGGTAGTGAGGTGAATTGTGAACTGCTTGAAGGAAAGAAGTCAGAGAGTTGTGGTCAATGGGACAGAGTCTAGTGGAAGGCCTGTAGCTAGTGGAGGCCCCCAGGGGTTGGTAGTGGGACCAGTACTAATCAATATATTCATCAACAACCTGGACGAGGGAGCAGAGTGAACTGTCAGCAAGTTTGCTGATGACCCAAAACTGGGAGGAGTGGCTGACACTCCATGGGGCTGTGCTGCCATTCAGCAAGTCCTGGACAGGCTGGAGAGTTGGGCTGGGAGAAATCTATTGAAATTTAACAAGGGCAAGTGTAGAGTCCTGCATCTGGGAAAGAACCACCCCATGTACCAGTATAGGCTGGGGACTGAGCTGTTGGGGAGCAGCACAGGGGAAAGGGAACCGGGGTGTGTTGGAGGACAGCAGGATGACCATGAGCCAGCAATGTGCCCTTGGGCCAAGAAGGCCAATGGCATCCTGGGGTGGATGAGAAGGGGTGGTTGTAGGGCAGAGAGGTTCTCCTTCCCCTCTACTCTGCCCTGGTCAGACCACATCTGCAATCTTGTGTCCAGTTCTGGCCCCTCAGGTCAAGAAGGACAGGAACTGCTTGAAAGAGTCCAGCAGAGCCACAAAGATGATGGAGGGAGTGGAGCATCTCCTGCTGAGGAGCAGCTGAGGGAGCTGGGGCTCTTGAGCTTGGAGCAGAGGAGACTGAGGGGTGCCCTCATTCCTGGGGATCAATTTGTAAAGGGCGAGTGTCAGGAGGAAGGAGCCAGGCTCTGCTCTGGGATGTCCAATGCCAGGACAAGGGGCAATGGTCCCAAGCTGGAGCATAGGAGGTTCAAGCTGAACATGAGGACAAACTTTGTCAGTGTGAGAGTGGCAGAGCATGGCCCAGGCTGCCCAGAGAGGTTGTGGAGTCTCCTTCTCTGCAGACATTCAAAACCCCCCTGGCTGTGTTCCTGTGTGACCTGGTCTGGTGATCCTGCTCTGGCAGGGGTTGCACTGGGGGAGCTTTTGAGGTCCCTTCCAACTCCTGACATTCTGTGATTCTGTGATTTGACTGCAAGAGGTGTGCACCTGTCCTAAATATTCATAGTACAGCAAGTGCAGTCCTCAAAAGACTGTAGTATGTTACTAAGAAAGTTGTCTTAATGTCCATGTCTGAATACCCATTTCACGTCTATGTTTATGGTATTAGATTATTACCTATAAGCTGATTTAACACTGGAAGCATTTTTCAACCATTTCTAATCCTTACTCTAAGCATAGGATTACCTTGAATAAACTTTATCATAGCTCACAAGGACAAGGGGTCTTTTTATTACTTCCTGTGGTAACATGTTTTGATTACTTTGTATTTTTATTCCAATAGGTTAATAACACATTAAAGCCAGTCTGTAGGGATACATGGATGACATGGTATGGGATTTAAGACTGAGCAGAAATCATAAATAAAAGTTTATTTTCACTTCAGCCTTTATTACTTAGTCTTTGCCATGAAATTATGACAAAGCTATAGTAGAGATGTCATTTTAGTTTTTTGGTTTGGTCATCCTGAAAATGAGAATGGTGATGGCTATTTATGGCTGCTAGAGTGCAGGCGATCACGTCTAAACATGGTCCATCACTCTTTAGTTCTGTCCTCTTTCATCTTACAC